ATAAAACAAAAAAAATATATATCGTACCACTTGGAAAGGATCGATATGTTGGAGACGACGCACATTTGCATAAACCCCCACAACTGCTTACGTAGTTTTCACATTATACTTTTCAGAAATATATATCGTATGTTCTTCTCAAGTGTGAGGAGTTACAAAGTCACAAACCTTAACTAAAACACTTTTATTAGTCAAATAACCATGATATAACATTTAACATTACCGTTAGCTTTTTTTCCTTTTTTATATAAATAAATTACCGTTAGCTATACAAATGACACTTGTATTTTTTGCTTCCAATAATGTTGGCATTTCAAGCTAATTCATTAATCGAAGGTAAGAAAGAGACGTCTTTCGAAATCAATTTTGTAATGGTAGATATATATGTCTCGTATTGAATTAGATTCATATAAAAATCTTCCCCAAGTAAACATTCAATATGGATCATGTGACATTCATTGGATCTATATAATCCGGTGCTAGGATTTATTGTTTACTCGCAGAGATCGCACCTATATATATTCTGTTTCCATTCTTTCCATATATTTTTTTTTTTTTGGTCACAAGTTTGCATTCTTTCCATATAAATGTGAGTAAATGTTCATCATTTTTGTATCTCACCTTATATGGAAGAAACAAAAGAAATGCAGTGTTTGTAACGACATATTTCGCCAAACTTTTGCTTATTCTCTCCAGTCTAAAATTTTTTCTTGTTTGTAACCAATGTTTTTAAAATCGGACCAGCAACTGAACCGGAAAAACTTTTGGGTCATGGTCAATGTGGTCCGATCTGGTCGAACCGGATCTAATATTTTTTAAAAAAATAGTAATATAAATAGTTTTTGTATAACTATAATATCCAAATATATAATATAGTCTTTGAATAAACATATTTCTAAAAATCAATAATGAAGAAAATCAATTTAATAACAAAAAAAACTATTAAAAATAAAGTTTAATGAGAAATAGTTAAGTTTATATGTATAAAAAAATTAAAAACATTAAACCATAACAAAAAATTAACTAAATTCAAAATTAATATTTGTTTCTAGAAATTGTAATCATAAAAAAATTAAATATGAAAAAATGGAAATTTACACACACAAAAAAAAAACTCAAACCCGAGTCAACCCAACCCGGCTAGTTGGCCGGTTCGCAATTGAACCCGGTCCGGTCTGGTTTTCAAAACACTATTTGTAACGAATCTAATGTAGTTTCGTGGAACTACATAATTCATTTGATTATCAACCAACAACAAAAGGAATTCGATTATTAGACGAAACTAAACTTTGTAGCCTAGCCAGTTTAAAATGGATTTGAAATGGTTTGTTTTTAGCTGTAATTCTTCACAATGAGTGCCCACAATTTTTGCTACAGATTTCTCAACA